GCAAGGGGAGACGTGTGGAAAATAAATATCCATTTACTCAGTTTCCATTTTTTTTTTGCTTGTCTGTAAAGCTTTTGATTTCTCCATCAATATATTTTTAATTTTAATATATTTTATATTATATATATATATATATATATTTTTTTTTTTTTTTCCGGCATGTGGGCCTCTCACTGCTGTGGCCTCTCCCGTTGCGGAGCACAGGCTCTGGACGCGCGGGCTCAGCGGCCATGAGCTCACGGGCCCAGCCGCTCCGCGGCATGTGGGATCTTCCCGGACCGGGGCACGAACCCGTGTCCCCTGCATCGGCAGGCGGACTCTCAACCACTGCGCCACCAGGGAAGCCCTCAGTTTCCATTTTAAAGAAGTGCTTTCCTTCGACGTTTTGAATCTATAAGAAAGTTTCTTGAAAAGATGTCTGGGGCCCAGTGCTTCCGAGCATCCAGAGCTTAGCTGCGTCCTGTGACCAAAGACTTGGCTGCTGAGGGATGTGACTGGAGTGAATTGGAGGGAACATCTGTGGACACTCACCCAGGGACACACAGCTAATAGCAGAGCTGCAGATCATCCCGCATTATCTGGCCACCCACGCAACTCTCTCCTCTCATTCACTGTTCTGTGTCCTGTTCTGAACCACAAACGGTGGACGAGTAGAGGTGTGAGCTGTGAATTGTTTCTGTCCCCAGTTTGTTGCGAGGCTTCCCATGATGACCGACATCCTCCTCTGAATGAGAACCAATCAGCCCATTCAGAAAAACGTTGAGCTATAGCATTTCCTGACAATGATATGCACGTGTGATTTCCTTCCATTGTAGTGAAAGCTAAGAATCTCTCTCTCTCCCTGTCTCCCTCCCTCCCTCCCTCCCTCCCTCCCTCCCTCCCTCCCTCCCGCCTAACATTTGGCACACAATCTACCCCTACTCTCACACCTCTGTGTGCTTGGTGAAACCCCTGTTCATCTTGAAAACCCACGTGCGTGTTGCCTCCTTCAGGAAGCCTCCCCATTCTCTTCTCCCCCAGTCTTTGGCGCGTGTCTTTTGTCATGCTGGAAAACCATTTGTTTGTATGTTCTCTCCCCTGATGATAGACCAGAAGATCCGCTGTGAGTAGGCGGGGCAGGTGTTACCATTGCTTGTCCCGGGACTCAGCACCTAGAGGGACTTCAGTATTTGGTGAAAGAATGAATGGCATTTTCATTTCTCAAAAAAAGATTTTAAAGAAAAGCTAGAAAATGAACCGTGCATGCTTAGTAGCAATTTATTGTTGAGTAGTTTAACAAGAATATCGCTACCATGGCAAAATCTGGATAAAAGTAGTAGAAATGAGATCCGCTGTAGATATCAAATCAAAATCCCTTCCTTTCTGGCAGCACAGAGGCCAAAGGTTCAGAAAATGGGCTGAACCTCACTTTGCATCTAGATATTTTGTCATCACTTAATAGAATTAACCAACATTTACAGCGTAGAGACTTGCATAAAGCCCCACGCCAAGTGCTAGGGCAATAAAAGAAAAAAAAGGTCCAGTTCTGAGCAGCTGCTACTAAATCATTCTTACGTAAATTGCCCCTGAGCACTTGACTCACATCGTGTCCATTGATGTCAGGGTGAAATCCCATCGCATGGCATTTCCCGTTAGCACTCGAAACTTGTACACGCTTGTCGAAGTCTCACTCTCCCGGTGTGGCCGTTGTTGCCGGCGCAGCATTTTATTCATACTTCTTTGAGAGTGCTTTCCATTTCTCTTTTGGCTGGCTGGACATGTTTCTCTCTTCTGAAACACGGGTCAGCACAATAAGCTCCGCACGCCAAATCCAGCTTGCTACCTGCTTTTTGTAAATATAATTCCATTGGACAGCCATGATCTTTCATTTCTGTAGTGTGTATGGCTGCTTTTGCGTGCTCCAGTGGCAAAATTGAGTAATTGCAACAGGGAGTGTCTGTCCTGCAATGCCAGAAATATTTACTGTCTTGGCCTTGGTACAAAAACTTTGCTGACCTCTGTTCTCATATTTTTGAGAGATTCTTGAAAGCAAGGGTTATTCTTTTCGGTTTCGTCCCCAACATCAGTACTTTGTATTAACTCCACCAACGAATGTCCGAGTCTTACTGTGTGCGAGGCACTGTTCCCGGTGCTGGCTGTACATCCCTCAAAGAGCAAAGCAAAGTCTCTGCTCTCGTAGAGCTGATATTCTAATGCTGGGGCCATGGGGAGAGACGGAGCAGTGAACAGACTAATACACTATGTCGGCGATGCACGTCATAGAAGAAAACAAACCGAGATGGGGGAAGAAGGGTTGCCGCGATGGGTGGGTGGGTGGTCGCGGTGGTCTTAGGGGAATCGCTTTCATGTGGGTTCACAGAGAAGGTGACATCGGAGCGGAGAGTCATTCCAACGACCTTGCCAAGGGGAGACAGGACGTGCGTGGCGTGCTTGAGGAATCACAAGGAGACCATGTGCCCAGAGCAGAACAAGGGGTAGCGTGGGAGGAAATGAGGTCACTGTCTGAGTCTGTGTTTTCTGGGGCTGGGTTTATTCTGGTGAATTTCTCCCTGAGTGAGATGGGAAACCCCTGGAGGGTAGAGCAGAGGCGAGGCAGGCTCTGTCGTGTTTTAACAGGCTCAGGCTTCTGAATGGAGGATAGACTATGGGCGCGGGGCGGGGAAGGGGCAAGAGTGAGCAGAAGCCAGGAGACCATTTAGAAAAAATACTGCGATCATCCAGGTGGGAGAGGATGTTTGTTGGCTTGGTCCACGATCATAGAAAGGGGAAGAGGAGGAAGCCTGGAGCCAGCTCAGTGCTTGGCATTCGGTAAATGTCTCTTGAATAAAATGTCAGCATTTCCATCGGGGTCGGCAGCGTCATCACCTCTAGAAATTCTGATTGCACCGCTCCGGGTTGGAATTCTAGCACCTGCCTAAAAATACAATCGTCAAAACTCTCCAGGCATAGTTGACGCTCAGCCCCCTGTTGAGATCCATCGGTAGGTGTTTCTGTTTCACCTGAGAACGAAGCAGACCAAAGGGGCTACCTTTTTCCTTTACATGCTTCTGATGGGAAGTGAGAAGAAATTTGATGTAGAGAGAATTCTGTTTTTCCATGATGATTAATAGGTAAAACCTTTCCATTTCTTCCAAGCTATTTGTGTAGGAAGGGTTGGCCGGGACCAAGCGGGGCTGGTAAGTTTCTCACACCAGCAGCCCTGGGGTTTCCACTGTAGGTTGTGGAAAGATGAGAAACCTTTAATATTTCAAATCTCAGCTGCCCATTTATCCTTTCTTACGTAGTTAACATTAGCAGATGGCTGGAGAGGTCTTTAAGATGAAGCCAGCCGCCCTTTAAGTTGTAACAAGCTTAGCACATACTTTACACTTTTAATGATCAGTTACCGTTCAGTTGATAGCAAGATGAGCATTAGTTTAACCACAGCACCCCATGGTATTTCTGAGGGATGCTGTTTCAGAGAGGGTCAGGGCATTCTAGAAATTGCGAATTTTGTAAATAAATGGAGGTGTGAATACAAAAAGGCTGATTGTCAGAATCACTAAACATAGCTCTGGATGTGAAGCCTTCCTATGAATCAGGCTGAGAAACGCCCCCCCCTCCCCAGTGTGATTTGAACCTTGCATCTACTGGGTGAACTGCACGATTCTCCCACAGCCCGCAGTGGGCTGCATCTAATATGCCTGTCACTGTTGCGCAGACCTCTGCTAATGGCCTTGAAAGGGAGAAGGTTCAAAGAGGCTTGGTTCCCAGGCCTGCTAATGAGCATGAGGCCTCTTCCCTCTTAATGAGCAGGGGTTTATGTGGGATTCTTTGCCCTCCCGTTTTGGAAGGGGAGGCAGGCGAGAGTTCACAAAAGCAGCAAGTCTTCCTGGCGAGGGGAGCGTGCAGCTGGGCCACCCGAAGGCCGCCTGGAGGGGAGCAACAAAGCTGCCGGAGGTCATGCCCGGGCCAACGTGGCCCTGAGTGTGAGGCTGGACCTCCTGCTAGCCCGGCCTGTCGCTGGCGACAGTGACAAGCCCTTGATGGGAGATTTCAGGCCGGGAGGGCTGTGGCAGGGTCCGTCGGCAGCCCTTGTAAATCTCCTCGGAGGAGTGCCACTGCCTTCAACTGCTTTCTCGACTGTAATCGTCCCCGCTGTCACAACTTAGCAAATGAATATTGTAGCCAGGAAAATCCTTGTTCTAATGAACTATGTCGTTATTAGTCATTGGTCCCCAAGCTCACCGCAGCCGCTGAAAAGGCCCCCAGATATTTTTCTTTGCTTCCCTCTGCCCACCCACGTCCCACCGCTGGAATTAAACAATAGAATTATTCAGAAGAGTAACAAACGCATGCCAGAAACGTTACCTTTATCACAGTCATCTTTGTGAAAGTCACTGTTTTTTCTCGGGAATGTATTTTGGAAACTGACATTCCCTGCTGAAGCGTTAGCATTACCCCTGAAATCACGCGTTTGATTTCATACACATTTCATGCCCGTTTCTACAATAAGTGCCTTTCTCCTTCTCTGAAGCCTGGTTCCGCATGGCAGAGTAGAGGCCCTTAAAACACATATACTTAACATGTAAGTTCATAAATTCAAAGTTACGAAAGACTCCGTAGTTCATTAATTAATGTTTCTACATTTTCATTTTCAACACAAGGAAAACTTGGCCATGTTACAGTAAGATTATTGTGATTAGATATGGAAATTACAGTTTCAAGAACTTGCCAGTTTGGAATGAGAACCTTTAAAGAACAAAATCGCAAAAAAAAAAAAAAAAAAAATGCCGCTTTCAGTGACGGGAACCTTGAGGAAATGTTAGCTGGTCTGCTGGCTTAGGGTGTTTCCCCACACCCCCCATTTCCCCAGTGAATAGAGAGAGAATTATTTGGAATGTACACACATTTACCCTTCCGTGACCTGTGTTGGGAATTATTCTGAGATGTATTCAAAGCTGACAGCCCCGCACGGCTGACCCCCTCGTGCCTAATCAGATCTTACGTTCTGTTTCCAGATAGCTGATCAGCTTCCTTGGATTTTGCTGATGACCCAGGAGAGCTTTGCCTGAAGATGGAAACACTGGAGTCGGAGCTGACCTGCCCTATTTGTCTGGAGCTCTTTGAGGACCCTCTTCTGCTCCCCTGCGCACACAGCCTCTGCTTCAACTGCGCCCACCGCATCCTGGTGTCGCACTGCGCCACCAACGAGTCCGTGGAGTCCATCACTGCCTTCCAGTGCCCCACCTGCCGACATGTCATCACGCTCAGCCAGCGAGGTCTAGACGGGCTCAAGCGCAACGTCACCCTGCAGAACATCATCGACAGGTTCCAGAAAGCTTCGGTGAGCGGGCCCAATTCCCCCAGCGAGACCCGCCGGGAGCGGCCGTTCGACGCCAACAGCATGACTTCGGCCGAGAAAGTCCTCTGCCAGTTCTGTGACCAGGATCCTGCCCAAGACGCCGTGAAGACCTGTGTCACTTGTGAAGTGTCCTACTGTGACGAGTGCCTGAAAGCCACTCACCCGAACAAGAAGCCCTTTACAGGCCACCGTCTGATTGAGCCCATCCCGGACTCGCACATTCGGGGGCTGATGTGCCTGGAGCACGAGGATGAGAAGGTGAATATGTACTGCGTGACCGATGACCAGTTAATCTGTGCCTTGTGTAAACTGGTCGGGCGGCACCGAGACCATCAGGTGGCAGCTTTGAGTGAGCGCTATGACAAATTGAAGGTTAGTCCGATCCGCCTTAAGCTGAACCCCTTTCTGCCAGCAAATGTCATGGAAAGAAAAAGTATATTCACTGCTAGCTGCGTGGCAGGTGAAGGTTTTCTCTTCGCCTTTGTTATCTGATTCGTTATAGCACGTCTTTTTGGCAGCCTAGCCGTGTTACACAATAAGGGTGTCTTGTAAAAGTTGACTGCTGCTTGTAATGTTAGCGTTGTCAAGGTGAGGGCGAATTCTGAAAAATCTGGATCATTTTCAATCCTCGCAGTTGAGAGAGAGCGAGAGAGAACGAGAGCGTACGCGCGTGGGAAGGAATGGCAGATGAAATCTGGGTTTGGGCATTTTGGGGGCGTTTACTTTCCTTACTCATCAGGGAAAACTCATTTCACTTGCATCGTACCTGTATCTAGTTACTGCCCAAACAGAAGAATAGAAGGAGAAATGCCTATAGCAAATGTGGGATTTTAGAGGACACGTGACCTTTTATTCCTTGCGTAAATGATATCCAGCGTATTGGTGAAGTAGAGTGTCCCGATCGTCTCGGGTTTCACGAAAGAATTCCTTTGCGTGGAGGCTTTTTATGCCATAAGGTTACAGGCAAGAATGTTTGAACTTCACTTTTAACATGAATTAGGAGCCAAACTCCACCTCAGGGAATGATAATTAATATGACTATACGTCAGATTTAAAAAATCACTCTCTAAATATGGAGAGAAGGCACCAGGGAAGAAATAAGCCAGGCCTCCAGGTGTCTGTTCATCTGCGGGCGACGCTGGGTCTAATTATTGCAAACTCAGCCGAGAGAGTTTGCTCTGATCATGAGACGCTCTGTCTGCTCCGTTCACCAGCTAATTTTAGGTAACAAGATGCCAATTAAAAGGAAAGGAAGTATAAATTAAGAGCTTTGCGTAAATATATACTGAAGTCCTTCCTCTCAGGACAAACACACACTGTGTTGAGCAAACAAAATGAATCACATGATCAAAAGTATTACCGCTCAGGGCTCATCACCACGTCTCACAAATGGCTCCTATCACTTCTCCTCGGCGCTGATGGGGGCTTGTGTTTACCAGGACCGCGTAGTTTATTTGGGGGATGCTGGGATGAATGGACCACATCTGTGATTTGGTGGCTATTTCTTGGTATGCTGAGGGAGTTTGGCATGCCGAAGTGAATCCTTGCTTCCAAACGTCACTTGGGGGACAAAAGCATCACTTGGGCAGCATGCCTCACTCAAAGTGAGGTGACTGGTATAAAACCATCTTTAGAAAGCTGAGCCAGAGGATCGAGGTGATACAGACAAGGGAAGACAGATGCTGCCTGGTTTTCTAGTGTCGCGCACGAAGGTAGCCAAAAACACACCTCCAGAGTTCTTAATAGCAAAGGCAGTGCGTGTGTGAATTGTGCTGCTAAAACAAATTCTTCAGAGATTGCTGTGGCTATCAAATTTTAGAAACCAAGGTGATCCCTCCACCCTTTTTTGGTGGGGGACAGAATATTTAGGGTGATTGAACATAGGTGGGTTTTTTTCCTTTTTTTAAAAATTGAAGTATGGTTGATTTGCAATGTTGTGTTAGTTTCAGATGTACAGCAGAGTGATCCAGTTATATATTTTCTTTTTCGGATTCTTTTCCCTTTTAGGTTATTACAGAATGTTGAGTAGAGTTCCTGGTGCTCTACAGTACGTCCTTGTTGGTTACCTATTTTATATATAGTAGTGTGTATCTGTTAATCCCAAACTCCTCATTTATCAACCCCCCCATGACCACCTTTCCCCTTTGGTAACCGTAAGTTGGTTTTCAAGGACCTAGGTGTTTTTGCTTTTCCGAAACGTAAAGCTGCCAGATCGGTTTTTTAACTCAAAAAATGTTCCTTCATTTGGCTTGACACTACCTTTAATGACCATTTGTCAAAGCACCACAATGAGGTTCCATATTCAGCAGCTCCCAGACTTGATATTTAAACCTGATCCTCGAGTTCTTCTCATGACTTGTGTACCATCACAGAGGAGTTCTTAGTTATCTACATCTCCAGATTTAAGAGGAGACACTTTTAATGCCCTAGCCCTTTTTGTGATGAAAATGAAACTCTTCAATTAAGAGCCCCGCACACTTGTCTAATCAAGCCAGTGGGTTAGCGGTCATTTTATACTGTTACCGGGAGGGCCTGAGAATTAATGATCTAGTGGATTTTATCTTCTAATTACAGAAATATAAGCATATAAACAGCACCCAGTGCACCAAAACACCCTTATAGCCGCTCAACAAAATATGTTTATAAGTATTTATTTACAGCCATTTCACAAAATGTGCTTATGAGCATTTAAACAAATAACGTGCTAGCATAGGCTGTTTGTTCTAAAACATGCCCCTTAGGTTAGAATTTTTAAAAATCACAGAATAGATGACATTTGGGTGCCTATGGTACTTCAAAACCTATGTACAGTATAAACACTGAATTTTTGAAGAAAGTAATAGCATACAGAAAGGACCAAAACCAAGAAAGGGTATTTTTGTCAATTACTTTGATCTGAAAAAGTAAATGTGTTTTTTTTTCTTTTGGTTTATTAGCCATTTTTTAAAATGTCTTTATTGGAGTATAATTGCTTTACAATGTTGTGTTCGTTTCTGCTGTATAACAAAGTGAATCCGGTATACATATACATACATCCCCGTATCCCCTCCCTCTTGCGTCTCCCTCCCACCGTCCCTATCCCACCCCTCTAGGTGGTCACAGAGCACCGAGCTGATCTCCCTGTGCTATGCGGCTGCTTCCCACTAGCTATCTATTTTACCTCTGGTAGTGTATATATATATGTCCATGCCACTCTCTCACTCCGTCCCAGCTTACCCTTCCGCCTCCCCGTGTCCTCAAGTCCATTCTCTACGTCTGTGTCTTTATTCCTGTCCTGCCCCTAGGTTCATCAGGTAAATGTGTTCTTTTAATGTATTTTCCTGAGGCTTTAGCATCTCGTACAGAAATGGATTTGTGATGATGTGGAAACACAAAGCATGTAGGAATTTGAGGATGCTTTCATTGATAACATGATAGATTTGTTTTAGTTAATTGAATATGTAAGGATTCAGGTGTCTGCTGTTTGAAAATGTTTTTTTTTTTACTTCTGTTAGTAAAAGTCCATTGTTTGAAGAGGGGGAATTCTGCAGTGATTATGAAGAATAATTATTTCTTGCAATAACACTCAACTTTGAGGGACATTTTTTGCTCACATGAACTCTCAGTGTACGTGTGTTGATATAGAGGATTGGAATATACTTTTGTACATTACACCTTTTTTTCTAGACACAAAGGGAAAAAAACATTTAAAAATTCCAGCATGTAGATAGAATTCATGCAAGCAAAATCTTTCACATCATTTGAAATAGCATCAGGAATCTAATGCTTTCGGAAACTATGCATTGGGAAGTACTCTTAAAATATTGAAGCAAAGAGAAAACTAAACCAGCATTTCCTGAACTCTGTTTTAAGATAAAAAGAGAAAAGTCTTCCTGACAAATGCGTAAGTCTCTAAATGGAGCATATCATAATGTGTACCTTTTCACATCATTTTGATTGAATTTGAAGAAGCCTCTCAGTCCTCCAAACTTGGATCAAAAGTTTGATTTGTGAACCACATAACATGTAAGAGAATTTAATAGAACGCATTCCGGAGTTTTCGAGGAATTACGATGCAGTAATTTCTTTTCCTCTGTTCCAGCATACAGTGTTGGAGCTCTTGTTTCTTTCCTCTAGTTACACCTATAAAAATACACAAACCAAGAAAAACTGACCTTTCCTTGCCCTTCAATTTCAGCATAGTCAGACTTCAAGTTAGCTGAAGCTGAAGTTGCAAATCATTGTTTTGCTTTTCTGACTCTAATTGGCCTTCTGTTGGCCTAGGGAGTTTATTTGTAAAAAAAAAAAAAAAAAAACCCTTTCAATGGATCATCCCATTGTAATTTTATAATAGTTTGATAAAGGTTCCAATTAAATCTCAGCCTTCCTATGTAGCCCTTCTCATCTGGAGGTGAAGACATGGGATTTCACTCTTCAGCGTCATTTATAGATCATAAGGGTCTATATTTTTTAAAGTCTTGTACTTTATTTGCCGTTGGGGAAGTTGTAAGTAGATACTGAGCTAGACTTTTTCCTTTTTCCTTAGAGTTTCTATAGATTGTTTCTTCTCTGAAAATAGTAGCCGGTTTAGTGCAGGTTCCAGTGAAAGTGTGTGTGTGTGTGTGTGTGTGTGTGTGTGTGTGTGTGTGTGTGTGTTGCATACATATGTGGATAGAGGCCAGGGATGCTGCTACATCCTACAGGGTGCAGGATGGGCGCTCCCACCTAGACTTGTCTGGTCCCAAATCTCAGTAGTGCCCAGGTTGAGAAACCTTCATCTGTGAGAATTTCGTGTTTGTCACCGTATGAATTTGCCACGACTGCCACAACAAGGAACCACAAACTAGGTGGCCTAAAGAAAAGAAATGTATTGTCTTACAGTTCTGGGGTCCAGAGGTGCTAAATCAAGGTGTCAGCAGAGTTGATTCCTTTTGAGGGCTGTGAGGGAAGAGTGGATTCCAGGCGTCTCTCCTTGGGTTGTAGGTGGCTGTCTTCTCCCTGTGTCTCTTCACATGGCATTCTCCCGCTGTGCCTGTCTTTGTGTTCAGATTTCCCCTTCTTGGCATAATTTTTTTTTTTTCCTGGCCGTGCCACGAGGCATGCGGGATCTTAGTTCCCCGACCAGGGATGGAACCCAGGCCCCCTGCAGTGGAAGCGCAGAGTCTTAACCACTGGACCGCCAGGGAATCCGCAGATTTCCCCTTCTTAAAAGGACACCAGTCATATTGGATTAAGGGCCCACTTTACTACAGTATGATCTCATCACAGCCAATTAGAGCTGCAGTGACCTTATTCCTAAATAAGGTTCCATTCTGAGGTATTTGGGATTAGGACTTCAAAATGTGAAATTTTAGGGGCCACAATCCAACCCATAACAATCACTCCAGTGTATA